GTGTGTGGGTGGGATCCGCGTTCGCACCTTGCCCCGATGAACCATGCGGTGCTACCAAGTGTAACGCTGGCTCTCTGGCCTTGACCTGACCAGAGACGAGCCGCAATGAAGGCAAAGACTTAAAGTAAGAGTTTCCCAAAACAGCTGACCTCCTTCCGCGGAACCTAGGCATCCTGGGCGTTGAGCTCAGGGCCAGGGTGGCGCGGGGAGGAGGCAGCCCGAAATGGGGTTGCAGCGCACCCCGCTGCGGCTAGCAGAGCAAGCCAGCCCCACGCGTGCACTAAAGGAAGCTCCAGAGAAGCTTCCTTTGCTGCAAGCTTTGCCTCGTAACGAACTTGTATAACGTTTGCAGGCGCTTACGCGCAGCATGCCAAAGCTGTCGATAGGCTCCTCAGCTAACTCTGCGCTAACTCATGTTACACTACACTGTAGGCACACCAAGCTACACAGGCTCACGCGTGCAAACAAGGACGCTCCGACGAATCTTCATTTACTGCATGCTTTAGTTCTCAATACACTTATCTAGTGTTTGTATGTGCTTACACGCAACCTACCAAACCGACGTGACGCATCCTCTGCAAATCGCAGGCACAACGGGCACCCTGTAATATGTAGTATGGTCTGTCCGCAGTTAGTAGAGAGACTTGAGGCAAGAGTTTCCCCAAAACTGCTAGTTTGTACCATTTTGAACCTCGGAATATTCAGAGTTAATGCAACTTGTAGAGCTCATCCGATTTTCATTTTATGGATGCATCCATGCATGCGGCCGAGGATATTTGCTGCGTTGGGGCTTGGCGTCAACGGCCGCCTGCACCGTTGTGGGTGCAGCGCGAGAGATTCCTCTAGAACTCGAGTCCGTTTACGAGGCGAAAATATCTTTTTTGTGCTTTGGGGCGAATTCTTGCCAGAACAACTCCCTTTTATTTGCAGGTCTTCGCCAGAGAGCACAATGAAGCGAGGTAAGTGTGGGGTGGTGCTCCATGTATGATTGCGTTGACGCGTCTGTGCTCTGCTCTTCATCATTTTGAATTTGAAATAAAATTAAAAAGTTCCTTCAACCAAAATACATTTCTTTCCAGGCCTACCGGATGCATGCATGTTCGCCTCCTGCCCCTGAAACTCTGTACAGCGGACCATTTGAATGGGCACTCGCGGCGGCACTTCCTGCATTTAGATGTGCTGTCAATAAGTTTCTGCATATTAATTCTTCCCCAGTTTGCAGCATGGAAGACGACCAAATGCATGCAGAGGTGCAGCTGCTGGGCTGGCTGCAGATGCGAGCACATGTACACTACAGAAGCAATAGCTTGCCTCTGTTGCATTTCTTTCTTCCTCCTACGCGTTGGTGCGTTGTTTGCATTTTACAGGACGCGGCGGTGCCGGTGGAAACAAGATGAAGGTGACCCTGGGTGAGTCGTTTCTATGCAGCTGGCTGTCTTAATTTCGAAGCTTTTGCAACTGCAGTTCTTTTCTCATGATTCGGTGCCTCTGCAGCTGCTGGAGCAAAGGAATCACGATTATTACTGTGGTTGTTATTGTGGGGTCTCTGCTGGTTGCAGGTTTGCCTGTGGGTGCCCTTATAAACTGCTGCGATAATAGCGGAGCAAAGAACCTCTACATCATCGCTGTAAAGGTATTCTTAAATCTGAGCCCTTTTTCTTTCAGCTGCGTTTAAATTCGTCCCCATATTTGTTACTAGTGCGTATGCTAGGGACCTGCATTGCCTATATATGTTGTTGGCGCTGCGTTTGGCGCAGCACATGCAGCACCGCACCGCCGTCTGCAGTGTAGACGACGCCTTGTGCTTGTGTGTGCTGTTGCTGCTGTTGTTGCTTGTGCTGCTGTTGACGGTAATATCAGGGTTGGGGTTCTTGCTTGAACCGGCTTCCTTCGAGTTCGTTGGGGGACCTGGTGTTGGCTACAGTGAAGAAGGGGAAGCCAGAGCTGAGGAAGAAGGTACACCCCGCTGTCATTGTTCGTCAGCGTAGGGCATGGAGACGAGCAGAAGGATATTTCATTTATTTCGAAGACAATGCAGGGGTTATATGCAACAACAAGGGAGAGATGAAAGGGTCAGCTATCACGGGACCCGTAGCGAAGGAATGCGCTGAACTCTGGCCCAAGATCTCAGCAGCTGCACCTGCTATTTGCTGAGCGCCTAGCAACAGCAGCAGCTGCTGGTACTCGTGCTGGAGCACAAGTAGAAGCAGCTGCTGCAACATAAGCTGTTCTGCAGATCCTGCTCCTGCTGCTGTCGCAGCTGCTGTTGTGGCAACAGTAGCAAGTAGCAGTTGCTTCGGCAGCAGGAGCTGCAGCCGCTGCCGCTGGAACCGTGCTGCTGCTGTTAAGCTGCAAACAAAGAAAAAACTCCCAACTCGCCCCCTTTTAACCCCAAAGGGTTGTCATGACGGGCTGGGTATTTCTCGTGTTGTGTGGCGGTGAAGAAACAGAAGAACTGTTCCTTTTGAAGCCTCTGCATGCGCCGGAAACGCCTGAGATGCTCTTATATACCTTAGGCGCTCAAGAAAGATTTAAGAAGAGCTCAAGGAACAATTAAGCACTTCACTATCTTGAGCAAGTAAGAACTGCCTAAGATGCAGTTCAGACTAAGAAACACTAAACCGTCCCCAGCACCGAATAAATGGTGAAGAGACTAACGAAGCTCGTACGAAACTTAGTACTATCAAATGCCTAAGAAGCACCTTAATAAAGCCGTAGGAAACACCTTAAGAGACGCATAATCAAAACCTGTAGAAACACCGTAAGCAACGCCAAAAGAAACACTTTACGAATAACCGGAAGAAACACGTGGAGCCCTCAAGAGTCACCTTAAGAACAGCTTAAGAAACACCATAAGAAAGCGTTCAGAAGGACCGTGAGAGCCGTAAGTTACATTTAAGAAACACGTCAAGAAACCCATTGAGAAACCCGTAGGTATCATCTTAAGGAACACCGTAAGGTACATCTTTGGAAAGCTATAAGAAGCCCCTAAGAAAACACTTCAGACACACCGTAAGAACACCTTAAGAAACACCTCAACATGCGCTAAACACTACGAAATACTAAAGAAACACCCTGAGAAACCATTGTGAAACACCTTAGACAGGGAAACATCATGAGAAGGGCTTTAAGAAACCCTCAAGAAACACCTTTAGAGACCCTGGAGAAACGCTCAAGAAACGCTTCATGGAACAACATCAGAAACCCTTAATAAATGCCTTAAGAAACACTTCAGAAAACACTTAACGCGTTAAGAAACCCTCAAGAAGCAGCTTAAGAAATGTCTTAAGAAACACTTTACGCAACACCTAAAGAAACACCCTACGAAGCACAGTAAGAAGCACCTTCAGAAACATCTCAAGACACACTTACGGAGGACCTTAAGGAACGCTTATAAAACACACTCAGAAGCACCTTGAGAAGTAACATAAGAAAAACCTTAAGAAACACCTCTAGAAACACCTGAATAAGACCCACCTTGAGAAACATCTCCAGAAATCCTCGAAGAAGAAACAGAATGAGAAGCACCTTAAACCCACCTTAATAAGGAATACCTTAGTACGAAACGCCTTATACAGACCTGCACTATCTTAAGCACTTAAGGAACACTCAAGACTAAGAAATACTTATAAACACTAAACTATGTTGAGCACCCTAAGGACTATCTATGAAAGACTCAAGATAGTTTAGAGTTTCATAGGAAGAAAAGGAACGGAAGGGCTAAGAAAGACTGATGAAACTGTGAAGAAACATTTAAGAAGTATCTACTTAACTATATATCCTGACCACAGACATATATATATATATATATAT